ACTTATGATAAATATCCGCCTTTACAAGAAAGTTTTCAAGTAAAATAAAATAAAGATAGGTAAGTGGATTAATTTTCTTCTGTATACTTTGTAGTGATATAGTTTGTGTATACCTTCTATGGGATCGATTGCGTTTCTTTTGATATGCCATCATCAACTATACAAATTTCCGTCTACCTTTATAGGCATTATAGATATTCACTAAGGGAATACAAAATAAACAGAATATATGCTATATCATCATATTATGTGATTGTTTCATTGAGTATTCCTTTGCCATCTTGCTATAACAAAATGTCTTTTTATGACAATCGCTACTATTATCTCAACAAAAGGTTCCTATCTATAATCGGTCAGTGGCCGTTTCAATCGCGACTGAAGAATAATCTGATGTTTTGCATCATGGTGTTCTTCCTTTTCACTGTGACGGCATTAGAGGTGTTCGAAAAATACGTATGATTGCAATTCATTGAGATTAAAAACTAACTGATAGCTTCGTTTTCGATTTTCTAGTTTTGGGGATTAGTTGCTGGGATAACGGATCTCAGCATTATCATGGAAAATGCCTCGCCGTTACTGGTGAATAGTCTTGTCATCGTGAAACTTGTTAATTGCGTGTGTATTAATTACAAAGTTCGTATTTTATGTTTCTGCTACATGCGAAATTAATCAGATCATTTTATAATTTAAATTACACGATTTCTTCGAGATGCAGATGAAAAAACTTCTGGAGGATGTTGAAGAGACTTGGAAAGTAAAACATAAGGGACCAGAAAAAGAAATATTATGCTGTTATGCAGAAGAATGCAGGATCTTCTCAATACAATATGCAAGTAAATTACTTTTATTTCATAACAAATAAAAATTTCTGTCTTATTTCTGTCTTATAGGTTTAGTATTGAAAATCCAAAAATATACAAAAAATTGATAATTCTTATCTATGTTACTTTGAATCTAAGTATTTCAGTAGATTATTTTTCAATTTAAATTTTCTTTTTTCCTTATTCTTCTTTTTTTTTCTCAACTATTATAAGAGTTCTATAGGCGGACTGTACAATCAGTATTTTTATTTAATAATTACATTCAAATGCTCTTCAAAAAGCTTTTATATAAATGTGCTTTTCTCTCTAATAAAAGCTTAATATTTTTGAGAAAAGAAAATGATTGATTCTAGCTGCTCTTTACGCTATGTGGCTCTTTTATACCACAACACCGATAGTCGTTAGTGGCATATGTACGCTTTTACCGACGAACGAAACATACTCAGCTAGGTTTCTATATCGCGTAGAACATGTTCTTGACATCGACAAATATTTCAATCTATTGATGCTTCATGTATTTATTAGCGCATTCTATATAGTCTCCGTGCCGATAGCTGTCGACACTTTCTTTATACTTTGCATTCAGCATGTTTGCGCGTTGTTTAAGTGTATGAAGTAAGTTATTTTTGCGAACAAAGCTGTAATAATAAAGAATATTTCAAATTTAGTTTATATTTTTGTAAAATAGGTACAACATAGAACGTATAGGAAATTCAGAATTTGTGTTGCTCAAGCCAAATATAGCGGATGATAAAGCGTATCATGTCGTAATCAGCTGCATCAAATCATACAAACATGTTTTAAAGTATGTAATGTTTTTAGATACATTTAACATAATTTAAAAATGAAAATTTAAAAAATCTATAATATGAAATACGAGACTGTTCTACGTAATATTTAATTAATTTTTTATTTAGTCATACGTTATATAAAGTAATTTTATGTCAAATTTTATATAGATTAATTAGATTAATTGTATTAAATTTTTTATACAAATAGATTAATATATCTGTTTTATCCTTTTTCGCGGAGATTTTCTGATCTGCTTTCATCTGCCTACGCAACTTCATTTCTGTTAATGTTGGGAAATGTTGTTATATGCTTAACTTTTAGCACAGCTGAGGTAAATATTTAAAATAAATTTAAAAATGTTATGTATAATAATGATATGATATATCTATTTTAAAAGATATCTAATTAAATTACATATCATTTAAGTTGGTAATGGTAGATAATCAAATCGATGAAATCATCAGAATTCTCGCTGCCACTTTAGCGCAATTGGTACACATATATTATTTGAGTTTAACATCTCAACGACTGATCGATCATAGCAGTGAATTTCATGACGTAATGTATGCATTTATTAACAAATGAAATTGAAACAATTCTTGTATTAATTCATAAAAAAATTATGTTGTAATTGAAGAAAAATATGTAAAATTAACACTATTTTAGTATCATATAAATATTTCGTAATTTAATTGTTTTATATTTCAAATTTCGTATTCATATTTCGTATTATTTAGAAATTATTGATAGGCAAATAGGAATTGTATAAAAATTAATTTGTTGAACGCATTAATAGTTACGGCTGCAATTGGTATAATATTTCATTGAGATCAAGACATCTTTTAAGATTGACATTACTACGTGCTACTAAACCGTGTCAAATAAAAGCTGGTAAACTATTCATAATGTCAATGGAGACTTTTAGCACGGTATGTACAAATATAATATACATTTCTATGATAACTAAAATTTTAGACAGTGTTTTTATGATATTATTTTCAGCTTTTAAAATCGACCATGTCTTATTTTACGATGCTTACATCAATACAGTAACAATCGCATATAATGATTTTCATTGGAAAATTACGTGTTAACATACATAAAGATAATGCTTACTTTATTTATTTAATATATCATACATATTAATTAAGTTTTTTTAATGCACCAATAAAATGTGTTTTTGAAAAAACGTTTAATTTAATCTTATGTAAATTATTTTTTTATACAAAATATTATCAGTATAATATGTGATAAATGTATGTAAAAATCATTATATTGTAATAAAAATTATAATTTATAAGTTATAATTTTAAAAATTATAATTTATAATTTTTATTGCAATATATATAATTTTTTTCATATATATAATTCCTTTATGTTTATTTTATAAATTGTATGTATATATACAATTTATAATATTATTATATATACAATTTGTACACACACACACACACACACACACACACACACACACACACACACACACACACACACACAC